ATTTTTGGGTCATTTTAATCGAATTTTTGGGGATTTTTGGGTCATTTTAATCGAATTTTTGGGAAATTTTTGTGCGATTTTTTGGGTTATTTTTGTGCAATTTTGGGGGGATTTTTGTGGAATTTTTTGCTGATTTTTGAGGGATTTTGGGGTCATTTTTATGGAATTTTTGGGTGACTTTTGTGCAATTTTGGGGGGATTTTTGAGGAATTTTTTGCTGATTTTTGTGGAATTTTTTGCCCATTTTGGGGGGATTTTTGGATGATTTAATTGGAATTTTTGGGTTATTTTTGTGTGACTTTTTGGGTGATTTTTATCGAATTTTTGGGATATTTTTGTGGAAATTTTTGGGATATTTTTGGGCAATTTTGGGGGGATTTTTGTGAGATTTTTGGGTCATTTTTGAGCAATTTTTGGGGGATTTTTGGGTCATTTTTACGGAATTTTTGGGTGATTTTTTGTGCAATTTTGGGGGGATTTTTGCGGAATTTTTTTCCGATTTTTGCGGAATTTTTTGCCGATTTTTGGGTCATTTTTGGAAATTTTGGGGTCATTTTTATGGAATTTTGGGGTTATTTTTGTGTGATTTTTTGGGGATTTTTTGTGTCATTTTTATGGAATTTTTGGGTGATTTTTTTACCAATTTGGGGGATTTTGGGGTCATTTTGGGGGATTTTTGGGTCATTTTTATGGAATTTTGGGGTTATTTTTGTGTGATTTTTGGGGATTTTAATGGAATTTTTTGGCCATTTTTGGGGCATTTTTGGGGAATTTTTTGCCGATTTTTGGGTTATTTTAATGCAATTTTTTGCCGATTTTTGGGCCATTTTTGTGCAATTTTTTGCCGATTTTTGTGCAATTTTTTCCGATGTTTGGGTCATTTTTGTGGAATTTTTTGCCGATTTTTGGGTCATTTTTGTGCAATTTTTTGCCGATTTTTGGGTCATTTTTTGCCGTTTTTTGGGTCATTTTTGTGCAATTTTTTGCCGATTTTTGGGTCATTTTTGTGGAATTTTTTGCCGATTTTTGGGTCATTTTAATGCAATTTTTTGCCGATTTTTGGGCCATTTTTTGTGCGATTTTTATGCGATTTTTTGGCCATTTTTTGGCCATTTTGGGGCTGTTTCTCACCCTCTCAGCAGCAGCATCGATGGCAGGCTGGTGGTAGAAGGAGGTGACGGCCTTGCAGCGTTCCCGGGCCAGGTCGGCCGGGGTTTGATCGGTGGCCGCACGGGAGGGGGCACGGGGGGGTCCCGCGGCCCCTCCCCCACCCCGCAGACCCCCCCCCAAAACTCGCCGCAGCATCTCCTGTGAAAAAAAAAAAAAAATTAAAAATTCAAAATTCAAAAGTTAATAGGAATGAGTGAAGAACCAAAAAAAAAAATGGAATATAAATGATAGGGGAGATGTCGGAAAAGAGGAAAATCAAATTTTAATCTGAAAATTCTCACAAGGAGTCCAAAAAAAATTCCCAATTAAAAATTCCCAAATTC